CCCCCACCGACCCACGAGCGCCAGCCACGGGCACCGCGCCCGCACGTCCACCCGCCGCCCTGGCTCGCACGCGATCGAGCGGACCCTGCTCCGACCCATCGTCGTGCCTTCGCAGGTGATGGACGCGGGCGAGGGCGCCCCCCCCGCTGCTGTTCGGGCGGCTGGCCCATGGCGATCTGGAGTGGCTGATCGAGATGGACGAGGCACTCCGCCACCCCAGCCGCCGCTTCCGCAGCCCCTCGACTTCCCGTGCCTGCGCACAACCGGACACTCTCCCGGACATCTCCCGGACACCCCCGGGACATTTCCCCGCCGCGCCGATCGACGGCCGTGGCTCTCTGACCCCCCCCCCCTCCCTCTCAGGCGTCTTCGCTGTCCAGCTGTCGGCCTGTCGCGGCCGTTCTTTGCGCGGCAGCCGGGCACGCGTTTGCGCCGGAGCGAGAGCGGAGAGGTCGGGCCCAGGTGGGCGCTTGCTGGAGCCCTCCGCCGTCGGCCACGACCCGGCCGTAGAGGTAGACCTGTAGTTTATTGTTTGAATTTTCTCTCGGAATAAATAATAAAAAATAAAAGCTCAATAAACCGCTGCGCGGGATCAAGTCACTCACATATGGTATGGGATGTCACATGCGCTAGATATGCTCCTCAGTGTTGGCGCTCCTCAGTGTTGGCGCTCTTTGCGCCCCGGCCCCGCAGGGCTACGGCGGCAAGCGCGGCCCTCCGCGCCGCTCCATCTGCCGTTGTTGACGTCGCGCTGCTCCGCTGCTCTCTCACTGCGGGCGAGCGGGGCCATCGAATTCCCATCGCACCACCCGCTCCGCGCCTCGCTCGCCCTCGAAGTACTGGACCACGCCGCCGCTGGCACTCACCTCGCGCACCCTCCGCTCCGCGCCTCGCTGCCCTCGTGGTGAAACACCTCGCCGTCGACACACTCTGTGCGCACCACCCGCTCCGCATCTCGCTCGCCCTCGTAGTGGTGCACGTCGCCGCTGGCACTCACCGCGCGCACCATCCGCTCCATACCTTTCTCGCCATCGTAGTGAATCACCATGCCTTCGATACACTCGCGCACCTTCCGCTCCGCGCCTCGCTCGCCCTCGTAGTGAAGCACGTCGCCGTCGGGATACTCGGTGCGCAGCTTCCGCTCCGCGCCTCGCTCGCCCTCGAAGTGAAGCACCATGCCGTCGACAGCCACCTGGCGCACCATACGCTCCGCGCCTGGCTCGCCCTCGAAGTGAAACACCGTGCCGTCGAACACCTGGCGCACCATACGCTCCGCGCCTCGCTCGCCCTCGAAGTGATACACGCTGCCACGCTGCAAGAAGCGAGTCCGCAGCTTCGCGCCAACCTCTTCGCCGCGCCGCAGCCTCCAGTCCTCTTTGCGGAACTCGCCAGCGCCCTCAAATTCTGACGAGAGGCGGTACGCCGGGCTCACGCTCGCAAGCCATGGGAAGTGGTCGGCGCTGGCTCGGCAGTCGCCGGCGTATTTGCGGAGGGTGACCTCGCTGAGCGTCACCGACACAGTGCCGAAAGTACCGGCAGAGCGCTGGATGAGCAGGAGCCTCATCGCAATGGCGAAGCGTAGGTCCACGAACCGCGCGAGCCCACGGCGATGGGCGAGGAGGCCGAGGCGCGGCGTCGCGAGGCTGAAGGCGGCGCAGTCGGAGAAGTCGTCGACGCCCTCGAGCACACGCAGCAGCAGCTCATGCGGCAGCTCTGCCAGCCAGTCCGTGGGCGGAGCGTCGTCGGCGGTTCGCGCGCGCGAGGGCATGAATGCTCGAGCGGAGCGGGAGCGACCGGCGCACGTGCGAGCGCCAAACAAAGAAAAAGAAATGCGCGGCCGCTGGATGCGCTTCTCAGCTCACCGGCCCTGGATGTGAGGTTACCGAATGCACTCCAAGTGCTCCAAGTGCGCAGCGTCCGCCATCCCTCCCTCTCGCCTGTGTGTCCCAGCTCCCTCTCGTGTCTGTTTTCTTTCTTTCGGGGCGCGTGTAGCCGGTACAATCTTGGCCTGGCGAAGAGGCACGCCGAAGCGCGAGGTCCAAAATGCCAATCTCCCCCGTGTGTGAGATTGGCTCACAAAGCAGATCCGCAGCACGACTGCACGAGCCCCTCTCGTTTGCCCTCCTTTCCCTCCCGATCTGAGATCCGGACACGCCGTGACCTGCTCCCGCCCGCAGCCGCTGCGCCGCATGTATCGACACCGCCGCTCCACCGATCGCTCATACCCGCTCACACCCGGCGCAGCACCACACTGCGCCTTCTTCTGCTTCTCCTTCATCTTCCTACACCGCGGGGTTGGGGTGGTGGGCTAGGGTGGCGGGGGAGAGAGGGGCGAGGCGAAGGAGAGGGCAGCGACGGCGGGATGGCGCAGCCGACTGTCCGCATCTCGATCTGGCGGCGCAGCTCCGCCAGCTGCTCGGGCTCCGACTTGCCGCCCAGCGCCCGCTCGAGCTCGGCGGCGGTCTTCACGCCCTGCGGCGCCACTGGTCGAAGAGCTCGAGCGCGGCGGCGTACCTCTCGACCGCGGCGTTGAGCTGCCGCTGCACCGCCTCCTCGCGGCGCAGCAGCTTCTCCTGGTCGTGAGATAGCACCTCGGCTCGCCCCTCCTTGAGCGCGTCCGGCAGCCTGCGCCGCGCCATCGTGACGAGCGACGAGCGCAAATCGGCGCGCAACCTCCAGAAGAAGCCGAGGGGCGGAGCCTCCGCCGGCTCCGCCTTACGCTGGTGTGTGTGAGGTGGTGGAATGGTAAGGTTTCAGGCCACGGGGGTGGGGGATTTGGGGGATGAGTCAGGAGCCAGCAGCCTTCCTACTGGTCCTGAGTTCACAGCTCCTCCGCCCGACGGGGTGGTCCCTTGGATTCGGGCCCCGCTCCCTTTTCCTGCGCCTGGTCTGTCCCTGTCATGTGTGTGTTGCGAGATGCAGAGCTGGTTAGCTGGAGCACAGAGCTGGTTACTGGAGCACTGGTTAGGCTGGAGAGCTTGTTAGGCTGGGGCACAGAGCTGGTTGGGCTGGAGCACAGAGCTGGTTAGGCTGCTGGTTAGGCTGGGGCACAGGGCTGGTTAGGCTGGAGCACAGAGCTGGTTAGGCTGCTGGTTAGGCTGGGGCACAGGGCTGGTTAGGCTGGAGCACAGAGCTGGCTAGGCTGGAGCACAAAGCTGGTTAGGCTGGAGCGCGGGCGGTGCGGTGGCCGGCGAGGGCAGCGCGGTAGGCGAGAGGCGGCCGCGGGGCGTCGAGTGGCGCGATAGGAGGGTAGGCTGGCTGTGGGGTTTTTAAGGTCCCTCGGGCCAGTTGGGGGGGGCAAACCCAGCCCGCCCCCTAGAGCTCCAGGTAAGGCCCAGGTGTGGCCTAGGGCATCAGAAGGGACCAAGAGGAGTCCAGTCTGAGCCATAGAGCCCATGTCTTTGCCCCCGAAGGTCGCGTTCAAATGCCCGGAACGGCCGTCTCAGTGGTGTCCGGCCGGCGCGATCACCGAGCTGTGACGCTCAGGGAAACCTGATGAGGTACTCGAGTACTGGTTTCTTTGCCCAGGGCTGGCCTACGGCCCGTGCTGGATCAGCTGAGCAAGGTTTGGGGAGAATCCCCCGGAACGGGTGATTTTGGTGCCAGGCGCAGTGCCCTTTCGCTCGCCCCGTATTGTCCCATTTGCCTCCTCTTAGCGGCACGATTATCTGTTCGTCTGCCGATCTGGGGTAGCGATCCGGTGTCGATGGAGTACCCGGGTATCTCCGACAATCTCTGGGCCTGCACGCCGTTCTGCCAAAAATGGGTGTCAAGATGCCTTGCCTCTTTCTTGCCCTGCTGGCGTCCGCCGCGGCGGCGCCTGCCACGAAAGGCCGCCCGCGCGCGACAGAGCCGCCTAGCCCGCCCGCAAACCCCCCCAAGATTCGGTACGTTGTCACCGAGGCAAAGCAGACCAACGTGGCGACGACCAAGGGTGGCGCGCGAGCTCCAAGCAAGGTGGCGCAGATGGCGGATGTTGTGGGCGGAGAGGTCAAGAAGACAATCGAAGCAGCCCTCAAAACCCTCACAGTGGTCGAATTCGAGGACAACAGCACGGCGCGAGCCTTCCAGGACCAGGCGGAGCGCTCGGGGCTAAGGGTCGAGGAGGATCAGCGGCGCTTCCTAGCAACAAGCTCGGCCTCGGCTTCGCGGAAGCGGCAGCTAGCCGAGGAAATGCCATGGGGGATCGAGCGTGTGTACAACGAAGCGGTGCCGGACGCCTCCTTCTTCCCGTCGGCGGTGACGCATCCGCTGTGCATCATCGACTCTGGCTACCTGCTCGCACACCCTGACCTCCCCTCTGACGCCACCGCGGCGGACCCGTCCCAAGCTGACCCAGCCGGCACGCGTTACTTCGGCGACGACATCTGCAACCACGGCACGCATGCCCTCTCCGCCGCCCTCTCCGCCGCCATATCCCCTCCCCGCCATCTCTCCGTCCGCCCCCTCTACCCCACCCTCCCTCCCTCCGTCCCACCAGGCACGCATGTCGCGGGCACCATCGCCGCGGTCGGTGGCAACGGGGAGGGAGTGGTCGGTGTCTATCCGGGCGCGCCTGACCTGAAGATAGTCAAGGTGTTTGGGGAGGTCGGCTTGCTCGACGACCCCAGCACGCCCTACCAGAATGAGGCGTGTGGCTGGACCTATGCCTCAACACTCGTCGATGCGGCTCAGCGATGTGTCGACAGCGGAGCCAAGATCCTCTCGAGTGAGCGTGCCTAGATCCGCTACCCGTCTTTGACTCATCTAACCCCCCCCCCCCCGGCCTTCCGCAGTGTCGCTCGGAGGTGGGTTTTCGTCGGACTTTGAGCGTGATGCCTTCCAGAAATTCTTTAATGACGGCATCCTCAGCATCGCGGCCGCCGGCAACGGCGGAGATAGCAGCTACTTTTACCCGGCGTCCTACTCCTCGGTCATGAGCGTCGCCGCCACCGACAGCAACGACAAGAAGGCGAGCTTCTCGCAGTACAACGACGAGATCGACATCGCAGCGCCAGGCGTCGACATCAAATCGACTGTCGGTGCCACCCCTGTGCGAGAAGGCCGCAGCGCCGCCGCTCTCCCACCGCTCTCACGCGATCATTGTCTCCTACCTAGGCCCCCCGAGCTACACTGGGGTCGGCCCCCCGGGCTACGGTTCGAAGAGTGGGACCTCCATGGCCGCGCCGCACGTCTCTGGCCTGGCAATGGTGCTCTGGAACAAGTGAGCCCCCCCCCCCCCCCCCCTCTTACAGGTGTGCTGGGCTGCGCAGCCGCCGTCGTCGCCGCCGCCTGACGTGCAGCTGCTCGACCTCCGCGCCGCCACCACGTACCAGGACTCGAGCTTGTTCGACAAGCAGGCGCCCGTGAGCGACCTGTCATACGCCGACAGCACGACGGGACGGCCGTGGGCCGAGTGCGGCCAATACACAAGCCAGTGGTGGGGCGTCGACCTCGGGAGCGAGGTGTATGTGCGCTACGTGCGGCTGCAGAACCGCAACGACTGCTGCGCGGAGCGGCTGACGGACGTCGACATCTATCTCGGCTCGACGGCGGAGACGTACACGGGCAACGCGCTGGTGAAGTCAGACGTGAGCGTGTTGTCGAACGTGATGTTGGAGGTGGAGATCAACGCGTTGGGGCGCTACATCTACCTCAACCGGCCGTCTGCGGCGGGGCTGACGGTGTGCAAGTTCTACGTCTTCGCAGGAAATCGCAATGGTCCACCTCCTTCCGCGTCGCCGTCGCCACCGCCTCCCTCCGCGTCGCCGTCCCCGCCGCCTCCGTCGGCCTCGCCGTCGCCGCCGCCGCCATCCGCCTCGCCGTTGCCGCCGCCTCCGTCCGCCTCACCGTCGCCGCCGCCGCCCTCAGCATCGCCGTCGCCCCCGCCGCCCCCAGCATCGCCGTCACCCCCGCCGGCATCCGTGTCGCCGTCGCCGCCGCCTCCCTCGGCATCGCCCTCGCCCCCGCCGCCGTCCGCCTCACCATCGCCACCGCCTCCGTCCGCCTCGCCCTCGCCGCCGCCTCCTTCCGCCTCGCCGTCGCTGCCGCCTCCGTCCGCGTCGCCCTCGCCGCCTCCTCCCTCCGCCTCTCCCTCCCCGCCACCTCCTTCCGCGTCGCCGTCGCCACCGCCTCCCTCCGCCTCTCCCTCCCCGCCGCCGTCCGCCTCGCCGTCGCCGCCGCCGCCTCTGCCGCCGCCTCCCTCCGCCCTGCCTGCGCCGCCGCCGTCCGCCTCGCCGTCGCCGCCGCCGCCGTCCGCCTCGCCGTCGCCGCCGCCGCCTGACGTGCAGCTGCTCGACCTCCGCGCCGCCACCACGTACCAGGACTCGAGCTTGTTCGACAAGCAGGCGCCCGTGAGCGACCTGTCATACGCCGACAGCACGACGGGACGGCCGTGGGCCGAGTGCGGCCAATACACAAGCCAGTGGTGGGGCGTCGACCTCGGGAGCGAGGTGTATGTGCGCTACGTGCGGCTGCAGAACCGCAACGACTGCTGCCCACATCGTCTGACCGGCATTGACATCTATCTCGGCACGACGGCAGAGACGTACACGGGCAACGCGCTGGTGAACTCAGACGTGAGCGTGTTGTCGAACGTGATGTTGGAGGTGGAGATCAACGCGTTGGGGCGCTACATCTACCTCAACCGGCCGTCTGCGGCGGGGCTGACGGTGTGCAAGTTCTACGTCTTCGCAGGAAATCGCAATGGTCCATCTCCTTCCGCGTCGCCGTCGCCACCGCCTCCCTCCGCGTCGCCGTCCCCGCCGCCTCCGTCGGCCTCGCCGTCGCCGCCGCCGCCATCCGCCTCGCCGTCGCCGCCGCCTCCGTCCGCCTCACCGTCGCCGCCGCCGCCCTCAGCATCGCCGTCGCCCCCGCCGCCCCCAGCATCGCCGTCACCCCCGCCGGCATCCGTGTCGCCGTCGCCGCCGCCTCCCTCGGCATCGCCCTCGCCCCCGCCGCCGTCCGCCTCACCATCGCCACCGCCTCCGTCCGCCTCGCCCTCGCCGCCGCCTCCTTCCGCCTCGCCGTCGCCGCCGCCTCCGTCCGCGTCGCCCTCGCCGCCGCCTCCCTCCGCCTCTCCCTCCCCGCCACCTCCTTCCGCGTCGCCGTCGCCACCGCCTCCCTCCGCCTCTCCCTCCCCGCCGCCGTCCGCCTCGCCGTCGCCGCCGCCGCCTCTGCCGCCGCCTCCCTCCGCCCTGCCTGCGCCGCCGCCGTCCGCCTCGCCGTCGCCGCCGCCGCCGTCCGCCTCGCCGTCGCCGCCGCTGCCTGACGTGCAGCTGCTCGACCTCCGCGCCGCCACCACGTACCAGGACTCGAGCTTGTTCGACAAGCAGGCGCCCGTGAGCGACCTGTCATACGCCGACAGCACGACGGGACGGCCGTGGGCCGAGTGCGGCCAATACACAAGCCAGTGGTGGGGCGTCGACCTCGGGAGCGAGGTGTATGTGCGCTACGTGCGGCTGCAGAACCGCAACGACTGCTGCCCACATCGTCTGACCGGCATTGACATCTATCTCGGCACGACGGCAGAGACGTACACGGGCAACGCGCTGGTGAAGTCAGACGTGAGCGTGTTGTCGAACGTGATGTTGGAGGTGGAGATCAACGCGTTGGGGCGCTACATCTACCTCAACCGGCCGTCTGCGGCGGGGCTGACGGT